AAAAGAAAACAAATCTTTTAAATATATAGACCCTGACAACATTTCAATCAGTTCAGTTTAATTAAATAATTGCGGGTTTACATTCAGTACCATTTTAGTATCAATTACACAAACTAATACACCACTAGTATATTATTATTTATTTATTGACTGCATGTAGATTTTCCATGATGTTATATATTTTATTTATTTAAATGACACAGAGTGATAAGCGTAGTGAATTGACTCCCGCAAGATATCTCACTAATAATATTGAGATATATACTTTTTACAAATGTTTTTTTTTTAAAAAGCTAATTAACACAATATCCTGCGGAAGCTGATTTACTATGTTTATCTCCCCATGAGCTGCAGATTAAAAAAAAGAAAATGGTACTATACGTAAAAGCTAGTCAATTTAAATTGCGAATGAAAAATGCATTTTTTATAATACTGTACCCTTAGCATGTAGCAGCGCTAGAAGCTTACAACCGTCGAAAATATCACAAAGACAAGACAGAACTGATACCTATCTCGGTATCTTGTCGAGGAAGTCATTCTCGATCACACGATCAATCTTTTCCATTATCGCTCCCACCTTTTTATCCACCTGTCTATCCTGAAACGGCTGGTCTCCATGAATGATCGCATTGCACTCCGTTCGGTGCCTGTTTGAACACAAGCTGAGAGTCTTGAAGAAGCTGTGTAGGTCTTTTAGCTGTGTCACGGCGTTTGCCGTCAAAAGGAGCTCGTTAGGTTTCGTAGGCAACGTTTCGATCTGGGTGTCCGCGAAACGTTGGTCCATCAAATTTGCTATACGAGTCACATGGGGTACAAACGTTGGTGAGTCGAGTGGATTCTGGACCACAATGTGGGCAGAATTATCACCCACAAAGGCCCAACGATACCTAAAAAGCCAGAAATGCGTTTTACTATAATCAAAAGCAAAACTATATACCGAATAAATAAAATGCATACTAAATGAGAGACTACTTACATTTGGAACTGAGGTAGTGCAATGGCAGGTAGGAGAAGAGCGAGATCGAGTAATTTAGCTGTGGCGAGTTGGAGACGTAACCAGTGAGGGTGTCCGAGAGCGTGGAGACCGTTGCTACTGTTAGTGGCCCAACTGGCGTCCAAGGCTGATAATAATTTAATGTGCGAGCTAGAAAAAGATATACAATAATATCTACTGATTATCCATCTTATATTACATATATTCCGAACAAAGGAAAATGCTAAAATGAGAACAAAAAGAAAAATGTGCTTCCTTTCTAGTCTAAAAAAAAAAAATACTATTTTGCTAAGATCTAATAAGTAAGCTACTTGTCGTAAGCAGATTTATGCATGCTTGCAATAGTCTTAAAAGTATTAAAGGAAGACGAAGTAGAAGAACATAGCAAATGATGCTTTTATTTAATCAGCAATCATTCATATTTCTGATAATTACCTGCTATTCGTCCTGAATTGTGAATTAACCAAATCCAGCAAACCGTAAACATACAAACAAATCATATTGTTAGTCAAAATTGCCAATAACTAATTCTGCCTGTACTGATACTTCTGTACCTATAATACATTATCCTTTTTTTCTTAAATTTTATCGTTATTACCTTAACCGACTGTTTAAAAATATCCCCTTACAAAGTAATCAACCATGCACAAATTAATATTAGATAATCAATTTACAAATACTGACCTGAATTCCTCGGTATCAGTAGCAAGTTCTTGTTCAATTTGAAGGAAGACTTGCAACATTTCACTGATGATTATTGGCCATAAAGAGGTCACGTGAATAGGGCTCATTCTGATTAATATTACACGAAAACAGAGAAAAACTTGAGCCTGAATCCCTGGCACATTAAGTCTTAAACTACTTGTTAACTGTTCTGTAACAAAATTATTTCGATTAGAATTGAATTTCAGTTAGAACTAATCCATATATCTACCTTGTATGTCTGCCATGTACTTTGCATACTGATCAACTTCGCTGCAAAATATAACAAAGGCGAGACGTTTCAGCAATTGAGCCTTCTGTTCGTACTCTTGTTCCCGTGACGAAAACAGGTTCAAACTCCCACTTTGGGGCATAGAAACACGACCTAAATAATCATGGGTAATAGTAAAAGTAACAAAAACATTTTACTTTCCTTCTTGATTCACTTACTCATCAGATCCTTGAATGTTGTGTTATCGTGGGTCATTAAGTTGTCCACGATCACCTTCCAATACTTCAAACAGCTCGTGTCCATCTGGAAGAGATTGTTGTCCAGAAGAAGTTCAAAAACGTCCTTCTTCCAAGCTTTTCGGGTGTACTGATAACTGCTCAAACTGGACAGGAGCTTCGAGCAAGCGTTAAAACTGGGCATATTCTTTAAAGTGTGCGTCTTTAAATAGGGCACAATATTACACATAAGAGAGGTCAAGATCGTGTTGACTTTGTCCTTTTCTGACGATCCGAAACAGATGTCCAGAATGGGGGCAAGAATTTCCGATAGAACCTATAAATTAGTGTCAATAGTTTATGCATATAAAAAATAAAAAAAATTACCAATTGTGCCTGTACACTGTAATTTGTGCCTGTCAATATTTCAGGACTCGTACTGTTGAGTCCGTTTGATGACACAGAGTCGTCTTCTTGCTCTTTGACCGCCAGATTCCTTCTGAGCCACGTTGTCTGTTCCAGACAGGATCCACAAACTTGCGATACACATTCTATCAACTGGAAAAAAAAAATTCATTAATTGAAATGACAGGCACTTACAAAAAGACAACGACATGCAAAAATTCGTACCTTTGCCGTAACGTCTTGCAGGTCCTTCTGATCTTTGCGTTCTTCCAAGGGACAACATTTAATCATCAGTTCATGTAAAAGGGCTGCCAGAAGAAATTGAGAGGGAGGACTGAGCGCACATCCTTCTCTTATAAGGGTTAGTAATGAGCTCCAAGCTTCAGAAAGCTGTGTTGCCGAAGCGTTACGCATGTAACTACAAGAAAAAAAAATGCCAAATGTTCTAATAACACATACACAGTTTTGTTATTATCTACGAAAACATAACTAATGATATTTAAAAATCGCAGTTAAATACTATTATAATTTTAACGTACTTTACGAAATAAAAAACAACAGCAATCTACGGAGAAACGTCATATACATACCAGTAGAAAAGTTCTAGAATGGAGACATCGAGGCATATATCAGCACTGAGCCCTTCAGTAGGAGGAGGATATCTTATAACTGCAGTCACTGTTTGGACGAGATTGTCTAAAGGGATCACTCGAATTGCGGAAATTAAATACACCAGATTACTCTGAACAGCGTTAGGCTCGGGCAGGACCTTTTTAATAGAACAAATTCTGTTAATGACTTCAAAATACTACAATAAGATTTAATGTAATGAATTTAATATTATATAATAAATAAATAGACAAATGCTGATAGTTGAAAATATTACTCAACAATTTATTTATTTATTTACCGTCAAAAAAACTGTAAGCAGTAATAAATTAAATTACAAAGAAGAGTGTAATGCTGCAGAGGCAAGACAAATGCCTATTATCTACTAATATAGAAATTATATTTGCTTTAATGTTGCGAATTAAAGGAATTATTACTACTCCACAAGTTTTTTTTTTTTTAAATATAGAATTCGTACTTGTCTAGTAATTTTTCAATAAATAATAAATAAAACTTACGCTTTTAATGTTAGCCAAAGGATTCCTACGTTCGTACCAGGCTACAGCGACGGCTGCTAAGAAACTGGATCCGTGGTGGACTGAAATGGGACTTAGGAACTCCAACAACTGTTGCTTAACCACCTTCGAGTTACCAAGGATGCCGTTGAACTCGCGTTCAAGACTCACAATAGTTTGCCATAGTTTAGCGACACTCGATATAATCCGCGGCATGTGTCCCAAGGTGGTCTTCCTAGCAGTCAAATAATGATCGGAATTTTGTTTGTTGGTACGACTAACATCAGCAGCAGCGGGACTGAAAAACGCATTTACTAGATTTGTAAGTATTTCCCCGGGATTGGGACCGTTCGTCGTTGACAGGTTGTTGTTTCCGTTAGTTCCACTTTTTGGTTGTTGTTGCTGTTGCACCGCCAATTGAGTCGAATCGAGCAGGCAATAGTGGCATATGACAGTCAACAAATTCAACTGAGTGACTGCATAGTCCGGGCATAATTCACCACCTTCAAGATCGTTCGCTTTATTGTAGTTTTCGGATATTTTTTCAATATTGTTGCAAATCTGATGTATGACATTAATGGAGATGGTCTTGAGGTTCTGACGGAAGTATGGGAGACAAGCAGTGACCATGTTACACCAGTTCTCATGAAGATTTTTCATGTTTTGGTGACGAAGTGCGCTCAGAATTGCCGAGAGGAAGATCTGCTGGTCTGGAATAAGAACTGGAGTTTTAAACGATATACTGTCACTAGAAGAGTCTTTCTGAGGCTGCTGGGATTGCTGCTGTTGCACCGACGACGCCTCTTGGACGGGGAAAACATGATACTCCAATATTATTAAGTTTTCAATTAATCTAAACAAAAAAAATATAACGGTATTAAGAACTACGTTATTAACAATGATATAAATGTACCTTAAAGTTTGTACTTGAAAAGCTTCAATGTACTCCGATACGTTTCTATGTGTGTCATAGAGTTGAAATTTGTTGTAGAGCAATGTTTCCTCTGCGAACGTGAGATCTTCGTCAAAACTCCTCACCGACGTTAGTAGACAGTGTAACAGTGTTTTTTGCATTTTACACTTTATCAACATATCAGCTATGTAACTCGAAAAGCCCTTCTTGTTTTCCATAACAATATTAATCAGATGCTTAACGACAATGGAAAGTATTTCCAAACTTATAAGTTGTATTTTTAAGTTTTCGTCGATATCTTCGTCAGTGACTTTAACGGAGTCTAAATTCGGAAAAAAGCTTCTCACATAATACAAACAGACGGAGATAAGAACGTCAAGGAACATGTAACCGCGATAAAAGTTGAGGTGCTCTTGTGGAACGTCGCCTGAGAAACCGAGTCCGAATAAGGATTTCCTATGCCTCGCTAGAAGGTTCAAAAGATCGATTTTTAATGTCTTCAAACCTGTTGTTGCAAGGCATTGAATGAATAGTTGCGGATTTGAAAGGAGGCTGTTTTTGAGAGTGTTAAGAGCATAAATAACGAGGCTTGTTTCAAATGGTTCGTAATAAAGACACAGATGTTTATGAATGGGGAAAACGACCAAATTTTTACCAGCCGGTTCGACTATTTTCGGTTTTAGATCGAAGTCTACATTTTTAATGTTAGTTTTCGGAGCAGACCCCTCTGCAAAGGTTTCACTGGGACAGACTCTGTCGAGAATTTCATTCAGAAGCTCTGTAACTATTGCACGATCGCTGGTTTTGAAGAATTCTTCGGCCGTTGTGCTTATTTCTAATTCGCAGTCGAATTTGTCTGAGTCAGACAGGCAATATGACCAACTATGAACCAGGGCTCCATTTTCCAATTCCTGTTCTTTCTCTGCGTCTATTTTCTCGTCTAAACTGTGCGACTTCGGCAGCTTCGTCCTCGACAAAGGTTTCTCTGCTTCATTTTCTGCTGGTTTTGTGGCACTTTCAGAGATTGACTTATTTGATGTGTAACTCGAATGGGAACCAAAACCTGAATCTCTGTCGCCCTTTTCAAAAGCTTCCCCATTTTTCCCAGAAGAGAGACTTTCACTTGAAGTCTGCTGGGATGATTCGTTAGGGTCAATTTGCGTATAACTTCCATCTACTCCATCTGGATAGATTTCTTTTGATCCTAAAGGATTTATAAAAAGTTTAACGTTCGATTTTACGACTGTGTCTACTCCTGAAATGCCTTCAGAGCCTTTAAAATCCTTGTTCTTTTTCGTTATGATTCCCTCATTTTCTGAAATACTTGCGGTCGTATTAATGGCGCTCATACCCATGGCCTTCCTGTTGGCTTTAGAGAACAAAAAACTCTTCCTTTTCATGGGCTTCGGAATTTTATTACTGGTAGAATGGTAAATGAGATTGCCGTTTATATTGCTTACAGCGAATACCTTTTTTGCATTGATAGTTTCTTCTGTTTCTTCATTTTGCATTTCGGAATCGCTATGTAAATCAGTACCAGTGAAGTTTACATAACGAATAGAAATTCTTGCGGTGCTGGGCATAAGTAGAACTGTAAATATTGGATTAATAAGTCTAGCAATGTCGTTCCTCAGCAAGCAATGTGTTAGGAATGTGTCCGACAGAAGTTTTAAGTTCGGTTTTTTGGTATTCTCCAAGTTATCTAATATTTTTAAAATACACCTGCAATTAAAATAAAAAAAACTCTCAGTCAGTATTTAAAAGATCAATAAAAAAACATATACACCTGTCAAAGTTCCTTGTTTTGTTTTGATTTGGTATGTTAAGGCTCAAATCTCTTCCTAAATGCCACAGTATCGAAAAACGTTTAAAAAAATCAGTTGTAAGGTTATCACTAACTAAATATCTCCCTATGACGTTTTCCACAAAGCATTTTTTATCAAAAATATTGTGTATTTGGTATAAAAGTGTTACGCATAACACTAATTGGTTTTGGTTGGGTGAAAATCTTAAAAGGTCCCATAAAATTTGAGACATGATCTAAAAAAAATTGAAGTCACAAAAAGAATAATATTTGAAGTAACTTACCTCCAAAATAAAGGTGCAGTCTTCTATAAATATCACATGATTGATTTCTAAAATTCCCATGACCAAAACATTGGTATTTTCTTCGCTATTATTGACAATCTTCTGGCTCTTTGTAAGACTGAAATTGTCCAACAATGTACTCATGGCGACGAGCTGAATGTCTTTAGAAGGTTTCTCTGGGTGACAAGCACATGTTATAAGGGCTTTTAACCAATAAGGTATTACTGTTGGGTCTGATTTTTCCGTTGGTAAATTGGGAAATGAAGAAAACTCAGACAATAAATTACAAGCCACAGAAACAACTTGTTCATAATCAGAACATCCCTCAAGCAATTCACCAGACAAATTCGCATCTGACACGTGTGTCCTAATAAGGATATTTTTAGGATTTAAAGGTTCAAAGTCTTTGGGAAGGTCTAAACATTGACTTAAAAGTTTTTCTAGTTCTTCAGTGCGTTTTTCAGAATTCTGTATGAGGCTTTGGAAATAGTCTTCTACATCAATGTCCTGAATGACTTTAGCATGCAAAAACTTCACAAAAAACTTTTTGTAAGTGTCCAAACAACGTGTCACATGTTTACACTCGGTTTTGGTGGGAGAAGGACAAGAAACTGTCTCCACATCGACTGTTAAATCTTTCGAATCGACTGACAAGTTGTCCAAAGTCACAGGGCCATCTTTTTTAAGATCGTACAGTTTAGAACTAGACTTTGATTTCTTATTTTTCGATTTCTTATCTATTTTAGGACTAGTCTTTTTCTTTAACATCTGATTGCTGTTAGAGCGTTCACGGCTTGTTGTATCTACTGTCAATTCATTCTTAGAATAATTTTCGTTTATTTTCGAGTCTGATTTGCTTTTCTCAAGTCTCTGCTTAATTTCGCTAACTTCATTTAATGATTCCTCATCTTCAACAGTAGGACTTTCGAGTTCTCCTGGTTTCATGAAGTTGGTTTCCGGTTCTTTTTCGTTTTTGTTAGGGACACTGGAAGAGGTATCTTTCTTTGACACTTGTGCTACAGTGACTGGTTGGATTTTTTTCAATATTTTTGTACACAATTGTAAGGTCTCCATTATTTCCAGTTTGTTCAGAGCATCTAAATACAATTTCATTGATGTGATAACGTTTATGAAGAGATTAGGTAGAATTTCTGAAGTGTTCTCCGAAAATGTTTCAATGTGAACAACATCCAGGAGAAAATCAGTAAGAGCACAAACCTCTAAAAGACTTGGAGGTCCTGAACCTATTTCATTCACCTGACTGCGGTCTCTTAACATATTTTTTTTCTCCTTAATTTTCCCAATGGCTTCCTCATATAGTTTTCCCAAGTACATCCAAATATAATAGGGTTCTAGAGTGCTGAAGAGTAGATTCGCGTTTTTCACTAATTCTTGACAATTGTTAGTCACAAATTTCTTTGTTAGGACTTTCTCACACCCTTTCAAACTCGAAATGTCCCCATTAAATGAAACACAACGAATCGCGTGATTTTTGTGCTTTTGATAATTAAAACAGGACAGGTAGAGGGCTCTAAATATATCGTAAAGGATCCCGTCTAGAATTACTGGACCTATTTGTGGTTTATCAAGCAACGACGTCAATAAACGGTACGGTTTTATATCTATCGGAACTTCGGTGGAGCTTTGTGACAACGTAATTTTCACTGCTTCAGTGAGGATGTCGTAAGAATAAAGTTCGAAATACGCCTCGACGTGGCTATGACTATCGGGAAGCTCCATTAATTTTTTTATGAGGGGATGTTCAGAATGTAATAGCGATACGTTTATTTCGCTTCCTAACAGCCAAGAATATAATCGCCTGTTAAGGGACATGTCCCTTCTTAAAATACTTGTCAGAGCTGAGGTAACCAGACGTACCATATCGGCATAAAGCAGTTGTGTGTTGTGAATAGGAAAACACGCCATCAAAAGGTCGAGGGCAGATCTCTGGACCAAAACGCTGGAGTCTTGTACAGCCGCACACAATCCTGATACCTAACAAATCCCGGACAAAACAGTTATTAAAATATTACAGAAAATGAAAAAAAAAAAATATTTACCATGACATCTATATCGTTCCCCATTAAATACAGTTGATCCTCCATGGTCAATTTGCGACTGTAATGGGTCAACACGTAACTGATGGCAGGCAAACGTATTGGGCTGTTGCTTCTCACACATTGCCACATACAAGTATAGAACCATTCAGGTCCAACACCTTCACAAACGGCCTCAAGAAGGTTATTGGTTCTATGAAATAATAACGACGTTTATTAAAAAACAATAGGATTGTTTTTTGCTGCAAATTACCTGTCGAAATGGTCTGATCCCGTTTCCAAACCTGGCAAAACACCACTAAGAAATCCGCTTAGAGCCGGTCTCAAACGTTCACGTAGAGGAACGAAATGGGTTTCGTACAATTGCAATAATACGGGCCTTATTGTCATAGCAGCATGGCCCAAAAGTGGAAAAAGACCTTAGAATTAACAACAGAAAAGAAACTATAAATGTTTAAAATTAATGTATTAATGAAGTCAGAAAATAAGAAAACACTTAAAATTATTTATTACTTTTATCATTTTCAGTTATTTAAGTTTTTTAAGGGTTCCAAGTTTTTTATTTTTCATTTATGTAGATCATACCAATTATTTAAAAATAGAATATTATACATTTTCAAAATTCAATGCATCATTTTTTGATGATACAGTTGAATATGACAGTAATTAGAAATAAGTTTTTAATCTAATCTAGTTACATGGCAAAATGAAAATACGGTTAAATCCCTTTAAGAAAACACCTACAACCTTATCAGAAACATGATAAGGCAACATAACTGTCTAGGAATATGGCCATAAATAAATGATTCTATTTTTCATAATCGCCTTATCATTGTTGAAAGAATACAATCGATTTATTTAAGTGTTTTTAAAGGTGATACACTTCAAATAACCCATTTCGGCCTACACCCAAATAAAAAATCATTTGATTTTCTAATGTAATTTTCCTAATAATACAATAAGTACTTCATTTAGAATTAAAGGCACGACTAGTATCAATGACAAATATTAATAGATAGTTTTATTATTGATCCATATAAATGGGTACAAAATAAGTGTTCATCAATAAAATGTGACATTTAAATGTCCATGTGTCCTTGACCCTGAATTGTGTACAATATTTTCTCTCAAGTAAACAATACATTAATAATGATTTAGATAAGTGAATAAAAAGAACACAACAAAAAGACCTTGTGAAAAGATGTAGATAGTTTTATGGTAACTTCTAATTTATCAATAAAAATAAATACTACAATGCTCTGCAAAAAAAACATTTTTACTTTCTGATCAATAACTAATAATAACGTTTAGATAAGCACAGTCTTTATACTTCATTGCAAATCATGTGCCAATTAAAAATGAAAAATACATTACAGTTCATTGAACCAGAGACATATTTTATTCAAATGACTAAAAATATGTATTAAAATTAATCAAAATATAAAAAACATTTCATAAAAATTAGAAATAACTCACCTGCACTATATATANTATATTTTATTTATTTAAATGACACAGAGTGATAAGCGTAGTGAATTGACTCCCGCAAGATATCTCACTAATAATATTGAGATATATACTTTTTACAAATGTTTTTTTTTTAAAAAGCTAATTAACACAATATCCTGCGGAAGCTGATTTACTATGTTTATCTCCCCATGAGCTGCAGATTAAAAAAAAGAAAATGGTACTATACGTAAAAGCTAGTCAATTTAAATTGCGAATGAAAAATGCATTTTTTATAATACTGTACCCTTAGCATGTAGCAGCGCTAGAAGCTTACAACCGTCGAAAATATCACAAAGACAAGACAGAACTGATACCTATCTCGGTATCTTGTCGAGGAAGTCATTCTCGATCACACGATCAATCTTTTCCATTATCGCTCCCACCTTTTTATCCACCTGTCTATCCTGAAACGGCTGGTCTCCATGAATGATCGCATTGCACTCCGTTCGGTGCCTGTTTGAACACAAGCTGAGAGTCTTGAAGAAGCTGTGTAGGTCTTTTAGCTGTGTCACGGCGTTTGCCGTCAAAAGGAGCTCGTTAGGTTTCGTAGGCAACGTTTCGATCTGGGTGTCCGCGAAACGTTGGTCCATCAAATTTGCTATACGAGTCACATGGGGTACAAACGTTGGTGAGTCGAGTGGATTCTGGACCACAATGTGGGCAGAATTATCACCCACAAAGGCCCAACGATACCTAAAAAGCCAGAAATGCGTTTTACTATAATCAAAAGCAAAACTATATACCGAATAAATAAAATGCATACTAAATGAGAGACTACTTACATTTGGAACTGAGGTAGTGCAATGGCAGGTAGGAGAAGAGCGAGATCGAGTAATTTAGCTGTGGCGAGTTGGAGACGTAACCAGTGAGGGTGTCCGAGAGCGTGGAGACCGTTGCTACTGTTAGTGGCCCAACTGGCGTCCAAGGCTGATAATAATTTAATGTGCGAGCTAGAAAAAGATATACAATAATATCTACTGATTATCCATCTTATATTACATATATTCCGAACAAAGGAAAATGCTAAAATGAGAACAAAAAGAAAAATGTGCTTCCTTTCTAGTCTAAAAAAAAAAAATACTATTTTGCTAAGATCTAATAAGTAAGCTACTTGTCGTAAGCAGATTTATGCATGCTTGCAATAGTCTTAAAAGTATTAAAGGAAGACGAAGTAGAAGAACATAGCAAATGATGCTTTTATTTAATCAGCAATCATTCATATTTCTGATAATTACCTGCTATTCGTCCTGAATTGTGAATTAACCAAATCCAGCAAACCGTAAACATACAAACAAATCATATTGTTAGTCAAAATTGCCAATAACTAATTCTGCCTGTACTGATACTTCTGTACCTATAATACATTATCCTTTTTTTCTTAAATTTTATCGTTATTACCTTAACCGACTGTTTAAAAATATCCCCTTACAAAGTAATCAACCATGCACAAATTAATATTAGATAATCAATTTACAAATACTGACCTGAATTCCTCGGTATCAGTAGCAAGTTCTTGTTCAATTTGAAGGAAGACTTGCAACATTTCACTGATGATTATTGGCCATAAAGAGGTCACGTGAATAGGGCTCATTCTGATTAATATTACACGAAAACAGAGAAAAACTTGAGCCTGAATCCCTGGCACATTAAGTCTTAAACTACTTGTTAACTGTTCTGTAACAAAATTATTTCGATTAGAATTGAATTTCAGTTAGAACTAATCCATGTATCTACCTTGTATGTCTGCCATGTACTTTGCATACTGATCAACTTCGCTGCAAAATATAACAAAGGCGAGACGTTTCAGCAATTGAGCCTTCTGTTCGTACTCTTGTTCCCGTGACGAAAACAGGTTCAAACTCCCACTTTGGGGCATAGAAACACGACCTAAATAATCATGGGTAATAGTAAAAGTAACAAAAACATTTTACTTTCCTTCTTGATTCACTTACTCATCAGATCCTTGAATGTTGTGTTATCGTGGGTCATTAAGTTGTCCACGATCACCTTCCAATACTTCAAACAGCTCGTGTCCATCTGGAAGAGATTGTTGTCCAGAAGAAGTTCAAAAACGTCCTTCTTCCAAGCTTTTCGGGTGTACTGATAACTGCTCAAACTGGACAGGAGCTTCGAGCAAGCGTTAAAACTGGGCATATTCTTTAAAGTGTGCGTCTTTAAATAGGGCACAATATTACACATAAGAGAGGTCAAGATCGTGTTGACTTTGTCCTTTTCTGACGATCCGAAACAGATGTCCAGAATGGGGGCAAGAATTTCCGAAAGAACCTATAAATTAGTGTCAATAGTTTATGCATATAAAAAATAAAAAAAATTACCAATTGTGCCTGTACACTGTAATTTGTGCCTGTCAATATTTCAGGACTCGTACTGTTGAGTCCGTTTGATGACACAGAGTCGTCTTCTTGCTCTTTGACCGCCAGATTCCTTCTGAGCCACGTTGTCTGTTCCAGACAGGATCCACAAACTTGCGATACACATTCTATCAACTGGAAAAAAAAAATTCATTAATTGAAATGACAGGCACTTACAAAAAGACAACGACATGCAAAAATTCGTACCTTTGCCGTAACGTCTTGCAGGTCCTTCTGATCTTTGCGTTCTTCCAAGGGACAACATTTAATCATCAGTTCATGTAAAAGGGCTGCCAGAAGAAATTGAGAGGGAGGACTGAGCGCACATCCTTCTCTTATAAGGGTTAGTAATGAGCTCCAAGCTTCAGAAAGCTGTGTTGCCGAAGCGTTACGCATGTAACTACAAGAAAAAAAAATGCCAAATGTTCTAATAACACATACACAGTTTTGTTATTATCTACGAAAACATAACTAATGATATTTAAAAATCGCAGTTAAATACTATTATAATTTTAACGTACTTTACGAAATAAAAAACAACAGCAATCTACGGAGAAACGTCATATACATACCAGTAGAAAAGTTCTAGAATGGAGACATCGAGGCATATATCAGCACTGAGCCCTTCAGTAGGAGGAGGATATCTTATAACTGCAGTCACTGTTTGGNAATTATTTTTACCTTCATACCTAACTAAATTGCATCATGAGTGTCCCCCTATATTGATGATTATTCATAATTAAAAAGAGTCTAACATGTTCCTTTTTTTTCAGTAATTTGGTGCCGGACATTGAACTTCACCATTAAAGTAAGTTGTTTTATAATTTCAACACAAATGTGTATTTAATAAAATACTTCCTACATTATTAGAAGTTTCTTTCTGTACTTTTAAGGCAACTACATTACTTTAATAATATCGTTTTTTAAAACAGAAGTACTTATAAAAATTACTTTATTATTTAGGAAATTAAAAGTTCTAACTGGTGATTTAAAATTTTTCCTTTTCTTGAGGACAACAAACAAAAAAAAATATTTTACATGGGTATATATTTAATTTAATGATAAACCATTTAAAAAGGAATATAAAACACTTACTGACTGATTAATCTTTTCTTAATTCAAAAGTGTCTTCTTTAATTCCATCCTTAGTAATGATGTTAATGTTGACTTTATCACCAGTGTAGATGTCTCTTTCTGCGGCAGAAATGAACACATCCTTTAGCAAAGCCAAAGCTTTTTCTAATGTTAGAGGTGCTGGTGTAACATTCTGCATATTTTTAAGACCAATTTGATTATCCAAAAGCGGCTGAAGTAAAGCTCCAGCAGATCCTCCAGCTTTGTATGTGGCTTTTTCACAATGACCAATAGGGTCATAACTGTAGACACACCCTTTCCCATCAGTATCCAGTCCTGCTAAGATATTAGACACATAATACGGAAAAAATCTTTTATAATACAGCATGGTTGATAACATCTGTGCCACTGCTGGTGTTGCCATAACTTTGTTATGTTCTTGTTCGTACATTTGCATTCTTGCACTTAATATACGAGTGAGAGTTAGGGCGTCGCACCAACAACCTGAACAACCAAGAACGGTGGACTTGGATAATGAAAACAATTTATTCTGATCTCGGGTATAAATTGCAAAACCAGTACTTAGACGAGAATCTGCACCTATGATGACGAAATCATCCCCAGCAATAGCTACCACGCTCCTAAATTTAAGTATTTTTAAAATGTCTTGCAAAAATGCAAATTAGGTTATACTAAACATACCCTCCGTTATCAGCGTAGGGACTAAATTGAAACTGTTTTGGGGTTTCCGTTGCATAGTCTGGATAATAACTGTTTACTTCTGCAGTCATTTTGCAGTACTTTCTGTTGTTCAAATGATAGTAACAAATACTCTTAATTATTCTTAACTGGAAATTCGAATATCACAATGACACTTCAAAAATTACAATTTTCTCATCAGTTATAAAGCCGAAAGATCGAAAATTCCAATAAACAGTAAACGTTTATGTTGGTCATACTCATAGACATACAGTAAACGTCGATGGTCATACTTATCGTTATCTATGGTTATCACTCTCATCTATGATTCTCATTTATGTCATGATCTGTTATATCTTAATCTATTAATTAATTGTCAGTAATCTATGATTGTCATTGTTATTGTTGTGTGATGTGATGTGTTATCTACTGATAGTCTTTTTCATTAAATTAAGTCTTAATTAGTGATCATTATGTATTTTAACTATAATTTTTAGGTTCTTTAAAACTTTTTCGTTTGAAATTATTTTAGGTTAGCCTAAAGAACTTTGAATATTTTTTTAACTTAATGCTTGTTTAGTCTGATTTATTGCATTTTTTAGTCGGAAAGTACAGCCACTATCCGTACCCGAAAGTTTATGACCAATAGATTGCTCGCAAGAAAGCAAATGGTTGTTGATGTCTTACACCCAGGTTTACCTTCTGTTAAAAAAACCGAAATCAGAGAAAAATTAGCTAAAATGTACAAGGTATGATCATTGTAAAATTAACAAAACAAACCGTTTGAATTATTATTTCTGTAGTGTTGCCCTGAATATGTTTATTTTTCAGGTGACACCTGATGTAGTATTTGCGTTTGGGATAAGCACAGTCTTTATACTTCATTGCAAATCATGTGCCAATTAAAAATGAAAAATACATTACAGTTCATTGAACCAGAGACATATTTTATTCAAATGACTAAAAATATGTATTAAAATTAATCAAAATATAAAAAACATTTCATAAAAATTAGAAATAACTCACCTGCACTATATATAAATAGTTCATGTGCAAGTCTATTTGTGCCCATACATTTGAAAATGATATCATAAGTTTCTAATGCTTTAAGATGAACACCTGAAGGCAAAGCTGGATGCATACATTGTGCTAGCCGTTTACTGATTTTTATTCTCCTTGGAATCACTGGAAACTTGGTATATCCTTGCAAAACCTTAAAAGATATACTCCTTAAGACACAAGTCGTTAACTTTTATTGCTTTATAAATCTGAACACAAACCTTATTTAACTTTCCCAGAGCAGAAATTAAATCAGGCCATTCTGAAGTGTATTCAAAACTTTTCAATGCTTTGTCAACTGCAACTACATACATGCGATATTTTGAATCCTTCAGTAATTCATATTCTTCCATTGCTATCGTAGTCATGTTCTTATTTCATATTTTTACTCCATCAATAACTTCTTTGGTTGACCCAGGAGGTATTTCTATTGCTTTAAAATCATATGATTTAAGTCCATGGCACAAACATTTGAAGAACAAAAATACATACGGGACAATGGAACATATATTACTAACACTACATTTCTGGACGATTAATGACAAACTTTAATGTAGATTAACAAAGTAAACATCTTTTATGATAACTGCTTCCACAAGTCATAAGTCATAACAATTAGTACTTCCTAATACACTTCGTACGATAAAAAAACTATATTCACATCACCACAGTAGCAAAAAAATTTTAATTACTAATACTAATCTTCACTGTATCAATTATCGCAAACTACAACATCAGAAAAATGCAAAACTATTTGCCATATATTTGCAATAAATTTATCATTTTATATGTCAAACTAATTGGCAAATTGGCAGCTCCTAGCAATTGATAATCATTTAGCCCCGTGTCTTTATTTCGTAAATTAAAAACATTTAATAGCTTTTATCTATATTTTTTCAATTAAATTCTATAATGGCTTCTTTGTGTATTTATAAGACTCTAGTATGTACCTAGTTTAAATGAAAATAAAAAAAATATATTCATTTCTGAATATTTTCACTATTATCGAATATTTAACCACATCCATGTTGCTCTACCCTTACTAAAAGCTAAACATAACCCTACTTACAAAGTAAGTCAAAATGGACTCGGAAAAGGTAGAAGAATTAATAAATTACTTTAAAACCCACAATAAATCAAAAGAATATTTAGGTCACACTGCCAAGGTGCATTCTGTGGGTTGGAGTTGTGATGGAAAACGTTTGGCGTCAGGCTCCTTTGACAAGTCAGTCTGCATTTATCTGTTAGAACGGGACCGATTGAATAAAGAAGTTGTATTTAAGGGTCATGGGGGTTCGGTTGACCAGCTTTGCTGGCACCAATCGCACCCAGACTTGTTAAGCACAGCCAGTGGAGATAAATCAGTAAGAATATGGGACGTAAGAGTGCAAAAGAGTATTGCTGCTATAAACACAAAAGGGGAAAATATAAACATAACGTGGGCACCAAACGGTGAAACGATAGCAGTGGGTAATAAAGAAGACCTGGTGACATTTATTGATGCCAAGACTCATAAAATAAGAAGTGAAGAACAGTACAATTTTGAGGTGAATGAAATATCATGGAACAATACTAGTGATCTGTTCTTTTTAACAAATGGTCAAGGGTGTATACATATACTCAGTTATCCCGATTTAGAAATTCAACATGTGTTAAAGGCCCACCCAGGTACATGTATATGTATAGAATTTGACCCAACGGGAAGATACTTTGCAACTGGCAGTGCCGATGCGCTGGTTTCTTTGTGGGATATTGACGAATTAGCTTGTCAACGTGTTTTTACGAGAATGGATTGGCCAGTGCGGACGATATCATTTAGTCATGATGGTCAGTTACTGGCATCGGCATCTGAAGACCTAATTATTGATATTGCTTATGTGGAAACTGGTGATAAGATTGCAGACGTGTCTGTGGATGCAGCCACTTTTACGGTAGCTTGGCATCCTTCAATGTATCTTTTAGCATATGCATGTGATGACAAAGACTCTTATGATAGAAAGAGGGATGCAGGAAGTCTTAAAGTTTGGGGCTTTCCATCAGATTAAAGACTTAATTCTATTTTGTGTAATTATGAAGTTTAATTTAATTATTCTTATGTACCTTTAAGGTCTTTAATATATTATTTCTATGAACGTTTTGCAGTTATAATTTACACAAAAGGGAATAAAAAAAACTATTGTGACTAAAAAGTGCAGAAAATATATTACTATTATACAAGGAACAAATCCAATAATATAGACATATTTTATCAAGAAATATTTGATAAATATTGTAAGTTTCGCTGTATAATGTGATAAGTACATTATTAATACATGCATAAAATTGCTATAAATTTTTAATATTTTAAATTTCTTCGAACTTTGAGGCACTTAATATACATAGTTTTAAAGCTTTTGTCTTTCAATAAAGTGATAAAGCTATTCATTTACAGTGAAAATTATTGCAAATATCTTTAAGTTTAAGATTAATGGCACGGAATAGAGGGGCATTATTTTGTACAGTCTTCGTAATTTTGTAAATAATTTAAAAAGTAAATACATACGTGTATTAGTTACAATTTTGGAATATTGGATTTTATTTTTCTTTAAATTACATTTAAATTTTTTTAATTTTAAAACCAAATGCGTGCTTTCAAAAAGACTATAATAAAATCAAAAGCTTTTCTAGAGATATGCAACATTAGAAAAAATTACTTAATAAAAAAATAATACTGGCTAAATCGTTGTAAGTAAGTTTTGGCCTTTTAGTTGCCTCTAAAATACGTTTTGATATCAATTTAAGTTTGAGAAATGGAATTATATTTGGACCGTTTGCACTTACAGCAAACTGACTTATAAAAGATAATAAAAGCGATGAAAATTGAGAAAATCAAATAAAGAAGTAGTGGAACAAACCGTGAATGAGACCACAGCACTGTATATTGTAACTTATTGTCGTCTGAAAGAAAACAACTTTTTCTCTACTAATCAACTAAGTCATAGTCAGCCAGTTTAAATAATCAATTAACCTGCTGATAGTTCTTTAAAAAAAATTAAAAAAATATAAAGAATAATTACCTATTATTGCATAGCCATAGCCTATTTTAGCGGTTCCCATTCTGTAAGAACAAGATGGCACGAGGATGTCGTAGATACTTTGGTCTCCTAGCACGCACTCGAAAATCCCACTGTCACCATCAAGAGGAGTTATATGCCTTTCATTTCGTAGTGAATTATCTACTGCTATCACCATTGATTCATGATTGTGGCCAGAAAAAACCAAATGTGGTTGTAATTTCGAAAGGACCTAAATAAAGATATTTAATAAATTTTGTTAGTTTTGTTGCATAAGTACATTATTAATACATTTAAAATGTTGATTAATTCTTACAATTAGTAATAATCTTTCTTTTTTTAGAAAAGACCTAAAATGAGATATTTTCACAAAAAACAAATCAAAATACATCTACAAAGTTACCATCCTTAACTAACATTGTAATATTAAAATTTTCAATTACCATACATACCTTTTCTGAAAAAGTGCTTGGAGTAAAAAGAACACTTATATGACTCAATCCCATAATAATACGGCTTGTATTGTAAAAGTCCCTTTTGTCATAAAACACTGGAATTGTTCTTGTCAACATGTTGATTTTATAAAATTCCAAATTATTAAATCCTATAATATCTGGTTGTAAAAACGCTTTTTCAAATCTTTTTATCTTATAATCTGTTAAAAAGTCATTTCCTTCTCCTCCTATGTCATTGTCTCCTGGTATCCAAATATGCTAAAAATTAACTAATGTAAACATTCACACATTCATTGTTTTGTTTAAAAAAAATTACCTTAACATTTGCTGAAGGACCACTAAGAAATATATCAAATAATCTTCTTAAGTATGTTTTGTACTCAGCTTCTGTAGCAATTGAACCTTCATCAAATAAGTCACCTAGAAATATGACCACATCAGGTTGAGTAAATTCGAAGGCATAAGAATATGTTCTAGCCAGAAACCTGAAATGTATTAACTTTAAAATACACACAAATAGCAACATATGTTTTGTACGCACATGTCACTGTCAAATATGGAAAGAGGAGTTATTAGATGAAATATTTCATTTCGTAAACCTATCAATTGCGGATCTGCCACTAGTAAAAGTTTTGTACATCTTTTACTCTTACACTGATTAAGTTGAAGCCAACTCAATGAATTCAACTTATAGCTCAGAATTTCCATTAAACACATTAGCAGAAGTATAAACAACACAACTGCGAGCCATTTTACTTGAATAATACGTCTGAAATTTGATTGCAAATCAGTATTAGCGTTTTGTATGGAAATCATTGTGTGGTACTTACTTTACTACCATAACGAGCAATTATTTTATGAACTGCCATTAAACAGAAACCATACGCCTACTTTTTGTAACTAAATATGAAACTACAACTTTTACTGAATAATAAAAACTAAATTAATAAGAATACGAAATGAATAAAATAATAATTAATAACTTGGTTATGTTTATAGGTTATGATCATAGATGCTGTGATTGCCATCATAGATAATTACCATAAACATTACAATCATAGATATTGCAAAAATCCTAGAAATTTAACCATAGAAAATTGACAGAACAGGAAGTGCCTAAAGACTATCCAACGGAATGAGTTCCCTTCTAAATTATTTACTGTAAACATGTGTAATGTATTTAAAAGTTACACTAATTTGAAATATTAGAAAATTTATTCAAAACTGCATACAAATACACAAGGATTTCAATTATCTAAATATTCCTATAAAAATGTAAAAATATGGGGTATATTGCATTACAAATGCTATATTTGGAATAGTTTGTCATGATACTTATGTATACACTTATATTAACTATTCACAAAAATGGGCAGCAATTTTATCACATGCTTATTAAAGATAAATATTCATTACTTTTTGTGACATAATATGTACGCATACTAATTACACTATTTATTAAAAGCTCCTTACTTAATTAAACAAAAAATTCAAACCATTTGGTACTCACATACTCTTTTAAATATAACAAAAATATTTACCTACTTTAAAAAAAATTCTATAGAATTCAAAAAATAATTAGAAAGAATTAATATGTGACTGTATATATGGCAAAGATTAATGCTAATAATCAATCATTTTTTGATAATTAATTTGTTCATTTACCAGAACTTGCTTTCACACAAGATTATATTTATAACTGAAATAATTGGATAAAAATTACTAAAGCAGTAGAATAAATATAAGTACATTAATAAATGAGCAAAAAGTTGATTGAATTGACACATACATCACTATCATTTAAATATGTACTGATAAGAAAATTATTACTGATTAATTTAGTAAGCATGAACACATTTTGTATCTTAAAAAGCATTAACATTTTCCTAAAAAAGGCTTACCACTTATCAAAACAAAAAATGTAATCAACAAACACATCACCAATAAGTGTAGAAATCTTTTGTTTCTTATCCATCTAAATTGAAATGATAATTTATACTGGAATAGAGATCAAGATAACTTAATTTTTAAGTTATTTAATTGCAATATTTTTATTTTGATAATTTTAACGAGCCTATCCGTTTTTGGTGAATTTGACGAGCCTTGTTAACATACTAGTGATGCACGGTATTTGCTTTTGTCTATGCATGTAAGGCACATCAGGTGTGTTGCTTTCATAATCAAGAGCAACCCTTTGACAAACAAACGTAAGAAGTGTCAGCATGTCGTATTGAAAACCGTTTTTCTCTAATTCCTCACAAAGGGCTTGAATAAACCAGGAACCCCGAGTTGTATTTCTCCATGAATAATAACCTATTTTTTTTTTTTTATTAAGTGATACCAATATTTGAGTTGTAAAAAAAGGGAAATGAAATTTGGATCTTGGGAAAGGAAAATTGATAAACAAATAAATAAAAAAAATACCTGGCACAGTAGAATAAGCAATTAAAAAGTCAGCTTGAAGTGGGATCCTGTATGAACTGGAACCATGACCATCTGTTTCTGTCCTGGACAGGGTTACACCTCCATCCAATCTATCCCCTTGGCAGGCTTGGATAAAGAACATTTTAGGTTTACCTATCAAAAATTAATCATTACATTTTTTAATTAACACTTTTCACGTAATAAAATACCTGCAAGACTTGGACACCTATCTGCAGTAAAAGATGTCCACAGTGAATCAGGCTTGTAGGGTGTATCCTTGGCAAATAATATTCCCAATTCTCCATGAGACAAAACAGCCATAAGAAAGCAGTCAGAATCTGAATGATCATATTGGCTGGAAAGTAGGGAAACTTTTTCCCTTATATCTTTGTAACACATATCATGATAAACTTCCACCTTGAACCCAATGCATTTCAGGAGATTTGCAAAAGATTCACAATCTACTTTAGTTCCATTTCGCTGTTTCAAACTTGAAATCTCAAAATGTTCATGATTGAATATAACAGCTAGACCACGATTTTTGTGATCCATCTTATAATAAGGTGCATTTCTTTCTGCGGGCATAGCAGCTACAGGAGGTTGGTACATGTGCCTAAATAAATAATGCGTAATTACTAAACTGAATATAAATGCGAAACCATATTTCTACCTATTGTTACCTAGGGCATCATATTCATCATTAGATTTAAAACCATTTTCAGTATTCTTGGTTTCAATCGAAGCCATTTTCCTGTTTGCTCACTGACTAATTCACTAAAACACTTTACTATATCTAAATAAATCAAATATTATATCTAATCTATAACAAAGGAAACTTATCAACAATAACTAACCTCTTTTTTTAACCTTTTAACGTTCCATGAAAACACGACTGTGGCTACATATACATCAAAAGGAATTAAAATAAAAATAAAAAAAATGTTTAAAAATTAGGGTATATATGTAAATAATATAATAAAACTGCGATATTTTTAGTATCTTGTGGTAAAAATAGTTTTAATCTATATAATTCTAATAGTTTTAATCTTAATTTTTAACATATAGGTACTGATACATTCCCATAGACTCGAATTTTTTCGGTCTTTTGGAAGTTTAGTGATTGTTGTGCACGGCGGTACCGTAGCAAAAGTATTTCAAGATGGTATGTTTTAAAATAAATCTTTAAATATTTTATTCATCATCACTATTTTTCATTAAATTAAGTCTTAATTAGTGATCATTATGTATTTTAACTATAATTTTTAGGTTCTTTAAAACTTTTTCGTTTGAAATTATTTTAGGTTAGCCTAAAGAACTTTGAATATTTTTTTAACTTAATGCTTGTTTAGTCTGATTTATTGCATTTTTTAGTCGGAAAGTACAGCCACTATCCGTACCCGAAAGTTTATGACCAATAGATTGCTCGCAAGGAAGCAAATGGTTGTTGATGTCTTACACCCAGGTTTACCTTCTGTTAAAAAAACCGAAATCAGAGAAAAATTAGCTAAAATGTACAAGGTATGATCATTGTAAAATTAACAAAACAAACCGTTTGAATTATTATTTCTGTAGTGTTGCCCTGAATATGTTTATTTTTCAGGTGACACCTGATGTAGTATTTGCGTTTGGTTTCCGTACAAATTTTGGTGGTGGCAAATCTACTGGATTCGCCCTTATTTATGATACTTTAGATTTCGCCAAGAAATTTGAACCTAGGTACAGGTTACAAAGGCATGGACTTTACGAAAAGAAACAGCAGACACGTAAACAGCGCAAAGAAAGGAAAAATAGGATGAAGAAAGTTAGAGGTACAAAGAAAGCTAAAGTAGGAGCTGCATCAAAGAAGGTAAACAAAAAAGTTATTACTTATTACTAAATATGCAAAAAAAATTGAAGGCAAGAGATAACATATTTTAAAGTAGCTATTTATGTTTTTCAGGGGAGAAAATAAGTTGATTTTCCACAGTTTAGGTATTTTAGTTTGTCCCCTTTCATGATACAGTTTTACAGATTTAATATAAAAAAAACTTTCTTTCCTTATTAATAATTTAACAATCTATTATTTATAATGATTTCCAGTTAATTATTTTTACCTTCATACCTAACTAAATTGCATCATGAGTGTCCCCCTATATTGATGATTATTCATAATTAAAAAGAGTCTAACATGTTCCTTTTTTTTTCAGTAATTTGGTGCCAGACATTGAACTTCACCATTAAAATAAGTTGTTTTATAATTTCAACACAAATGTGTATTTAATAAAATAC